ATGACAGAAAGCGGTTATGCTTAGCAACACAATAGTTATGGTACTGTTAATTCTTTTGGCGCCGCACACAGAGACGACCATATGGAATTCCACACAAAACTTGGATTCATCTGTGAACAGAATCGGTCTCGTACTTGCCAATGTTCATGGTTATTGCTAACTCAAGACAAGCATTGCGAGGTATTACAGTCAAACATGGACGGATATGCTGGCTTGTAAACATGCAAAGAGCCAGAGCCACTTAGGGCCCTTTTTAGCCCTGAGAATTTCTAAAAAATAGAAATTGCTCAGTTTTGGTTTTGAAATGCAGTATTTATAACTTGGATCCTTGACTGTGTATCTATTGAACATGACGTAATTTTCTCTCTAGTCAATGCATTATGAAGTCATAAAATGCGTCATGTTTCCCATATTCTGTAAATTCCCTTAAAAAATGGCCAAAAGTTGAGGTATTTTTTCAATATTTCATATAGAGCACAACCTCTGATCCAAAATATGCAATTACATAATGAACGATCGGTTTCTGCAGATCACAAAACATGTTTTAATTTTTGGATCGTGAGCTATGCATATATTTTAAATCTTTGCTGAAGGTAGTCAAATACGCATGTTTTCTGCAAAATTCAAGAACATTGCATTTTCTCAAAGCCTGTTTACCAGTACCTGAATTCTCAAAAAGAAATTTTATTATAGGAAATGAAAGCACTAAGTCTCTACTCTATTTTGATATATGAAATCGGACAGAGGGTGATAGTCAATTAATTGATATAAGGACAGGGCCATTTTATGCAAAAAAATGAAACTAGCTCTTTGCTGCAGGTATCCTATTTCTTAACGTCTGAGTGGGTTTTTGCAACCCATGATCATTCCTATACTTCCTATTCAAGACTTCGGCAGACATGAACCGATGCGTTTTGCCAAGAGCAAATTTCACACTGCTGACGGGCTGTCGTACTTTTTGGCCTGTCACTACAGTCTTTGTTGCAACCCCCCCCCCCCTCCTGTGTTCTGGGACCTTTCCCTTTACCTCCTTGATACGCTTTGGCTGACGTTTAACTGTCGAACCAGTTGACGTTAAGCATATCCAATTGCAACATATCTTTGGCACAACCGTTGTGCTGTACATCCATATGTCGCCTCTGCGGTATGCTGTCATTAGTTAAGGTCAGCAATTGTCAAATTTCAAAGTCTAAAGTAATTTTTAGCTCACCTGAGCTGAAAGCTCAAGTGAGCTTTTCGGATCACCCGTTGTCCGTCGTCTGTCCGTCTGTAAACTTTTCACATTTCAATTTCTTCTCAAGAACCACTGGGCCAATTTTAGCCAAACTTGGTACAAAGAATCCTTGGGTTAGGGGAGTTTAAATTGTTAAAATGAAGGGCCAAGTCCCCTTCAAAGGGGAGATAATCAAGAAAAGGCAAAAATTGGGTGGGGGGATTAAAAATCTTCTTCTCAAGAACCACTGGGCCAGAAAAGCTGAAACTTATGTGGAAGCATTCTGGGGTAGTGTAAATTCTAAATTGTTCAAATCATGACCCCCGGGGATAGGGCGGGGCCACAATAGGGAATCCAAGTTTTACATTGAAATATGTAGTAAAAATCTTTAAAAATCTTCTTCTCAAGAACCACTGGGCCAGAAAAGCTGAAACTTATGTGGAAGCATCCTGGGATAGTGTAAATTTTGAATTGGTCAAATCTTGACCCCCGGGGGTAGGACGGGGCCACAATACGGAATCCAAGTTTTACATTGAAATATGCAGAAAAAAAAACTTTAAAAATCTTCTTCTCAAGAACCACTGGGCCAGAAAAGCTGAAAAAAATATGTGGAAGCATCCTGGGATAGTGTAGATTCTAATTGTTCAAATCATGATCCCTGGGGGTAGGGCGGGGCCACAATAAGTACTACAAGGGATGGGGGATCAGGTGAAAAACAGCAAGGCCAAAGTTACTCAGGTGAGCGTTGTGGCCCATGGGCCTCTTGCTGAAAATTATAGTCTTACACAAAATTTCTTTCACTTGACCTTTGACAGCGTTTCTCATTTTGGGAGGGGGGTATTGTAAATGTGCACGTGGTTTCGGTTACTCGGTAATCGAACTTGTGCAAATAAAAAGCAGAATGTACGACAGCCACATAAATATTATTCTTAAAAACAAAACTCTTGTATTAAAAAATAAATGTGGACTGAATTCCATGATCCGTTACTTTTTTGTTGAGTATACATTAATTTTTTTTTTTATTTTTATTGATCTATCAATTTCAGTATTTACAGTGATTAATTATCATAACTAAATAAAAAAAAGAAACTAACTTCTATCAGTTAACTCATAAGATCAATGGTACCCTGCTCAAAACCAGAACACTTGATCCATTGGACCAGTTTCAGAATTTTGGAAAGGTCACCCTTCCTTGTTTCTTTTCATAACAATGCACTTAGTTTGTCTGCTCAATACACAGGAACACAGAAGATTTTCAAAGAATTGAAGCAATTTCACTATACATGTATGACCAATAAAGCCCCACCTTAACAAAATAACCATGACCAAGAGGCCTTAATTCAAAATTTTGGAAGAGGCACACTTGCTTATCATTTCTGTGCATTTAGTTTGTCTCCTAAATATACAGCTGAGAGAAGAAGACTTTAAAGAATATTACTTTACCTAAATGATCTATAAAGCCCAACTCTTACATCAAAACTCCAAATCTAAGGACCAAGAATTTCACAGTTTGCCTTTGAGGTATCATTGCTTATTGGAAAAAAAATAAGCAAGCATTTAACGAATAAGTTGATTATACAAGGATATAAAGAATCTCGTTTATACACAATATTTTGCAAATTCTATGGTTGAAACAAGGGCTATGATTGCAACTACAATCTCTCGTTAAGTCCGTTACTTTTACATTGAATTGTCTACTGAATTCTCCAGTTTCCCGATAATGACAAAGAGCAAACAACGGATGTGACCGGACAACAGGGGATGCTCACTCATTTAAGGTACCTGGTCCCTCCTCTGTTTTCAGAGGTCCTTGTGGCTCTGCTAACAATTTTGTATTGTTTGCTTTGACTGTTCGTAATTCTCATATCTTATAAATGCTTAAAGTCTGACTGCTTGATGTCTAGGAGTAAATAAGACTTTTAAAAGTTACATTAAATTTGATAGTTTGAACCCCACCCCTCAGGTTCCAACAAATTCTATGTCGATATCGACAATATAACATCGATATTGTAATGCTATCGATCCTGATCATTAATATGGAATTGGAAATACTGGATAAATATTAAACTTAGTTTTATTTCGACACCGTTGCTATCGACAATATCATCGATATCGATACAGATCTGTACAATTTATTTCAAAATTGAGGAAGAAAAACATATTTATAGAAGGTCGCAAGTATGATGTCAATGTGCATTCATTATTTGGTATAAATTAGCTGCAATAATGTAGCCCTCTCCGATTTTTTTAACATGATATTCTCAGGAGAGGGCTACAATTCCACTGCATCTCCATAATGGTGCAAATTTATATTTTTGATACGGGCGTCTGCAGGCAAAATAAACTGTTTTTGCATTTAACTTACTTCCAATAAGAATTTTTATTCACTATCAACAACATAGCCCATTATACGCGAAAACCAAGTAAAGTAAATCTGCGTGTTTACCAGTCGTTCTCTTCAGCAGTCATGACAGTTCTCGCGTGATGTACTGAGACTTGCGCTTTAAATTTAGAATCACTTGATAAAGTAAATGTCGGTGTTGATAAATGTTTGTGTTGTATCACTAAACATCGATAAATAAAAGCATTCCATGTGATATATTTTCATAAACCGTAATATTTATGCTTAAAATAAGGGAAATCCAATATAGATCGGCTCCCGTAGATCCAGAATTCTCATTGGTTGTTCCAAAATAAAATCGATCAAGGTCAGTAAACATGGCGGACAAATTCAAGTTATGATGTTGACATACACGAAAAATAACCGATCTACGAATTGCTCGTTATATTTTTGGACCAATTCATGTCTTGCATAACTACATTTTATGAGTTCAGGTAAGATATGTTAATAAAATACCCACTTTCTGAAAATTTGAACCAAAAACTGTGCGGTAGTGAATCACTCCCGCACTTGCACCATTACGGAGATCCTAAGGAGTTGTAGCCGTCTCCCAAAAAAAAAAAATCGGAGAGGGTTACATTATTGCAGCTAGGTATTAATATCTAAATAAAATCATAATTCAATATCGGTACGAGATCGACAATAGGACAAAATTAATAATCAGAAAGAACGTACTCATAACTGTTGCATAAAGAAATACAGCCACAAGAATGATGTCGAAAATGATTTGATATCCATACGATATCGTCGATATCGACAATATCGATAGCAAGTACAATCTTCCTAAATTTAAAGTATTTGCACAATGGCAAGGACAGCAGTTTGAAATGCTTGAGCAGACATGAATCGACATCGAAATGATATCGACACCATGAAAATGATAGCATTCGGTTAATATAACATTGAGGGAGGTAACCAACATCCATTGAATGGTGTGTTCCCCGAACGGCTACTCGCCAAAAACAACAAGTAATTATCACACTCAATTAAGGGGCCCTCTTAGGGGTACAGTAGACTTACCTGTGTTTACCTGGATTAGCAATATTTGATAAATCAGATAAAACCATCCACTTCAAAGATTTTTTTTAATTTTCAGAATTCTACTATATAAAAGAAAAAAAAAATAAATAGAAAAAATTAAGATAAATCAGATAAATTCATTGAATTTCATTTTAATTTAGAGATTTTTTTTTAATTTTCAAAACTCTAATGTGTAAAAGAAAAAAATAAATACATAAAATTAACACACACATACACACACACAAATTATCTTTAAATTTCTGACTTATTTAACTCATTTATTTATCATTTTGAATGAAACCTTTTTAAAAACTCATCATAAAAAAAACAGAAGTTTATGCAACACTTTTTAATAATCAATAGATTTGATGTGATAAAAACAGATCACTTTGATTTTTAATGAAGACCCAAGTTAATAAGCTAATTGATGAAGCAATGATAATTGAGATCAGTTCACTTTGAAATTTTAAATAAGCTAAGCTATAATAATTAGTGTAAAATAAAATGATGTACTGAACTTGTCCAATGATGCAGTCCAAGCTGTAACTACAAGAACAACACAAGCTTCAAAACAGTATATATATAAGGATGAAAATGAAGAAGCATCATACTTCACCCATCAACAATGGCAAATGCACAGCTCAACGTGAAATTCATCACAAACAGGAGAGGCGGCCAAAATTTATCCTTTCAAGGCTTTATCTACAGAATTCATCGCAGAACAGACACCAAACTCTTTTGGAGATGTGTTGTTGCAGGATGCTCAGCTGGCCTCTCTACAGAAAACAACGTTCCCATAGGATTTGGAAGACAGCTCCACACCCATCCTGAAGATCACACCGAAGTTGTTGCCAAACAGATCATGAACCAGATTTCAAGGCGATGCACAGAAGAAGTAAAACCTATACCTTCCATCTTCACAGAAGAACTCAACAGACTGCGAGACGATGAATGGGACGACACCAGCAGAGAAGTGATAGAGAGATTGCCAACGTTCAACACGGCCAAGTCCATCGCTTTACAGAGCTCGCCGGAAACAGACTCCACCACTTCCAAAGACACCTGCTGACATTCGACTAGAAGGGAAATGGACAGAAACACAGACAGGTGAACGTTTCCTTCTTCTAGACGACACTGCTCAGAACAATAGGATCCTGGCATTCGCAACAACGGACAACCTTCGAGACCTGGCAGCTTCAGAGACCTTTTTCTGTGACGGGACATTCTACACCTGCCCCAGCCTATTCCACCAGATATACACCATTCATATTCTGAGTGATGATGTGATGACACCTGTTGTGTATGCCCTATTACCAGGAAAGAGTCAAGCCATCTATACAAGGTTCTTCACCCTTCTTCTGGACAAAATCAACGACCTTGACCTCCAGTTTTTACCAACCTGTGCCCTAGCTGACTTCGAGACAGCAGTCCACAACTCCATCCGAGAAGTGTTTCCGGACATCACAACGAAGGGATGTTTTTTTCACTTCACCCAGGCTATTTGGCGAAAAGCTCAACAGACAGGACTACAGATCCCCTACAAAGATGACGACAACGTAAAGACTTTGGTTAGAAGAGCAGCAGTTCTTCCCCTTGTTCCTCTAGACTGTATTGAAGACGTTTGGTTCAGAGCCCTAGAAGACAGAGATGAAGCTGACCTCACACAAGCTACAGAATCCTTCACAGACTATGTGACAGAACAGTGGGTTAACGGTGACAGACTTTTATGGAATCATTTTGGAACAGAGGGACCACGGACCAACAACAGCCTTGAAGGATGGCATGGAAAACTCAAAAGAATGACACAGCACGCACATCCCAACATCTTCATCGTCGTAAAGATGTTTAAAGATATACAGAATGCGAAAGAAATTCAAAAGATTCAGAGGGAAGCCGGCGGGACCATTAGACCTCCAGCAAAAAAGTATGCAACTATAAAGAGAAGATTGCAGTTACTGAAAGAAAGGTACCAGGATGGCATCATTGACCTTATGGCGTACACAGACTCTGCATCTGAACTACTTCATCTAGGATAGTGACCCCTTAGTTGTAACTAAATCAATTGTAAATATTGTAAATATGTGTGGTTTGAAAGTGAAACAGTGCTTTTTTACTTATAATGAAATATGAAGTGTGCTAAACAGTGCTGTTAAACAATAGAACTTTAAGACAATTTAAAGTAAAAAATCTGTGTAATTCTTAATTTTACTATGTTTTGTGCTTGTAAAATTATTTATTTAAAAATTTGTACACAATACATTTAAACTTCTGCTAAAATAAAAAAAAAAAAATATTACCAAATCTATTTTATTTGATTTTGTTTAAAGTAACTTAAATTCTGGCAGATTATTCATACAGGTAAGTCTACCTGTACCCCTAAGAGGGCCCCTTAATTGAGTGTGATAATTACTTGTTGTTTTTGGCGAGTAGCCGTTCGGGGAATAAGCCCATTGAATAATCATGATTCAATATCAATGCGATATCGTGGATACGTACAGTAAGAAAAACTTAAATTTTGTAAATATTGAGTATTGTAACATACGAACAAGAAAAAAGAAATATTGTAGCAAACTATGAAAAAATAATATGTCGATATCGTAACTACATCTTGTCTTGGACATAACTCGGCTCAAAAGAGCCATGAAAATGAAATTCACAACTTTCCTCTCCTTTTACTCAGATGCTATATACGAAAATTGATTAAAATTGATATAAAAGTCACATAGAAAAAGCTGAATATGTTTAAAAATAACATACGATGGACGACAAATGACAACAGACGAAAACATATAGCAATAAGTCACCTGAGTAAATGAACAACCTCATCTCAAAATGTAATGTTAAAATGTGACAATGTTCGGATGAGATAATTGCCTCAAAGACTCTCTTAAAACATAACAAGGGGCACTTTCTATGATCCCTTTCCCTTGCCTAGTGTAGGTTTGTTACATTATTCAAAGATGGCGAAGAAAAAAAACGCTTGAAACAACCCACTTAGTGGAACCCCTACAGTTCCAACTTAAAAGCGAAAATGATGAGCCAGCCCCCCCACCCCCCACCCCCCCCACCCACCCCAGCCCCCATTCTGCCACAAAAGTGCTTTCATGCACACTTCAAAAATAAGGGGGTAATAGACGAATCTTAAATTTTCTTAAAAACTGAACAAGAAAATAAATAAAGTTTCTATCAGAATATTGGCAATGTCCAATCTTAAAGACCCTCCAAAAACTGAAAAGGAATACTCCCTCTGATCCCTTACCTTTCCCTTGTGTTGGTTTCTTATGGTGTTCAAATATTGCGAAAAATCAATACTTCAAAAAGGGCCTTAAACCAAAGCACAACTAGGTGGTTCCCCTAAAGTCTTAATCTGAGATCGGCAAATGATAGCCTGATACGCCACCTCCTATGCCCTTCTAAGGTATGATGCATATCCACTTTCAAAAAAATAATAACTGATCTTTATCCGTGTTTCAATATTCAATGTAAATAAACGACAAAGTTGAACTGGCCACCATCAAGTCCGAGAGAACCCGAAAAAGTTTCCAATGATCCTCAACCAGTATTAGTTTCTTCTAGGGGCCTAAGGTGATTTGAAAATGAAAGTTTGAATTACGCCCCCACCCATGGCACCACTTGGTGGTACCACTAAAGCAACATTCTGATAGCAGGAAATGATAGTCCTAGGGGCCCTCTACCTTGTCCCAGTAATGATTTGAAGCACATTTCAAAGATAAGAGGTATAATAGCTGACCTTTAACCCGTATATTAAAACACAAAGTGAAAAACAACAAAGTTCAGGTTAGCTTACTGGCCCTTTTACTTCCCCGGGACCCTTGAAAACCTGGCAAGTGGTTCTCCTTAAAGTCCTTAACCTTTCACTAGTGTTACTTTCTTCTAGTAGCCAAAGATGCTTTCGAAATGAATGCTTGAAATACGTCTCCCACCCGTGGCACCACTTGGTGGTACCACTACAGCAACATTCTGATAGCAGGAAATGATAGTCCTAGGGGCCCTCTACCTTGTCCCAGTAATGATTTGAAGCACATTTCAAAGATAAGAGGTATAATAGCTGACCTTTAACCCGTATATTAAAACACAAAGTGAAAAACAACAAAGTTCAGGTTAGCTTACTGGCCCTTTTACTCCCCCGGGACCCTTGAAAACCTGGCAAGTGGTTTTCCTTAAAGTCCTTAACCTTTCACTAGTGTTACTTTGTTCTAGTAGCCAAAGATGCTTTCGAAATGAATGCTTGAAATACGTCTCCTACCCGTGGCACCACTTGGTGGTACCACTACAGCAACATTCTGATAGCGGGAAATGATAGTCCTAGGAGCCCTCTACCTTGCCCCAGTAATGATTTGAAGCATACTTCAAAGATAAGGGGTATAATTGCTAACCTTTAAGCCGTATATTAAAACACAATGTGAAAAACAACAAAGTTCAGGTTAGCATACTGGCCCTTTTTCTTCAACAGGACCCTTCGGAAACCTGGCAAGTGGTTCTCCCTAAGGTCCTCAACCTTTCACTACTGTTACTTTGTTCTAGTAGGCAAAGATGCTTTCAAAATGAATGCTTGAAATACGTGCCCCATCCGTGGCACCACTTGGTGGTACCACTACAGCCCCATTCTGATAGCGGGAAATGATAGTTCTAGGGGCCCTCTACCTTGCCCCAGTAATGATTTGAAGCATACTTCAAAGATAAGGGGTATAACGTCTGTCTTTTAATCGTATATCAATAAACAAAGTGAAAAACAACAAAGTTCAGGTTACCTAACTGGCCTTTTCTAGTCATTGGAACCTGTCAAAAAGTTGACAAAAGAACTCCCTAAGTCCCTTAACTTTTTTCCAGTTTAGTGTTAGTTTGTTCTAGTGGTTAATGATGGTTGAAAAATGAAAGCATGAAAGATGTTCCCCACCGTTGGCACCACTTGGTGGTGCCGTTACAGCCTCAAACCGATTGCCGGAAAGATGGTCCTAGAAATCTTCTATCTTGCCACAGTAATGATTTAAAGCACACTTATAAGATAAGAGGTATAATAGCTGCTTGATATATGTAACCCGCCCCTGGCACCACTTGGTGGTACCACTTCAGCCTAAATTTTATGGTCGTGTATAATAGCCCTGAGGACCCTTTTACCTTGAGCCAGTAATTGTTCGAAGCACTCTTCAAGGATCATAACTTAAAATAGACTAAATTACCTTCAAACCCTTATCAATGTAAATATTAGGAGTAAGCAAATTTCAGGTTAGCCTTTTGGCACCATCATGTTCCTGAGACCCGTAAAAGAGCTAAAAAGGAATTCTCCCGGAAGTACTTAACCTATTTCCAATGCTGTTTTATTCTTAAGCGGTCAAAGATGGTGACATTTTCTTCTTTTTGTTTGTTTGTTTGTTTGTTTGTTTGTTGTGAAACCGCATAATTTTCCTTATGCAGGTGAGCTTAACTGCCTCCAAGTGTTTGAATTATTAATTAATAATTAAGTGTTGCATCAATTATCTAATTATTAATTATAAATTGTCGAAAATGAGGCATTATACTGTATTGCGTCAGAGTACTCTGATGACTTTGATGAATTTCCTTAGTGGCTGCTAGCTTCTACGGGCTTAATGGCTGCTGTTATTGGCTGCTAGCTTTAGTCTAGTAAATAATTTGCACATTTCCCTTTTTTAATCGGCTATCACAACTTATCATTTCAATCAAGTTTTGATTGAATGATTCAGTGATGACGTTTTATGAAATAAATAAACGATTGCTTGTTGTCAGTTTCATTAAAAATTGCCAGTAACTTAGATCCGCCAACCGGAACGGCCACCGTACTCACATTTTTGCAATTTCATGGCTGTTTATAGAAAATGAAAGTAGACATTTAATTTAAGGACATACGCAACGTAGTTTGAATTTTATTGTCTATTTCCCTGGAGTTAAAGGCTTCCAATACTTAGATTTTTTCAGGTACCGACTTAATGTCATATCCCAATGAAACTCTAAAAAATGATATTTTATTTCTTGTATTTACATTTTGCTTTTATTCGTGTTTCAAGGAAAAATAGGCACTATTTAGACTTTGTTATGGAAATGCAACATAACGTACCTACGACGTCATGTGACATCACAATAGGAACTTTCCAAATGGCTCGTGCAGTTTGCTTTCCATACACAGGAAAGTCTGATCATGTGACCAACTGCATGTCATTGAAAATTGAAAGTCAATTTAATTAGTATTGTCATATAAGGAAAGACATCGGCAAATGTAAATATAGTACTATAAAATCTGAATTCAAGGACACGCATGCACCTGTGCTGAAATCTGATTGGCTAATACTTTACTTGCTGTATCTCTCTTATAATTCAATATAATTCTTTGAAATTTAAGACTTCGGTATATATTACAAGTCACTTTAAGAATATATATGTGAGAAATCTAGAAAATAGTGTGCTGAAGTCTGGTTGGCCAAGGTTATTAGTATTTATAACTTTCTTAGTTTTTAATGAAAGAAGATTATATTTAGAGTTGATGACGTTAATAATACAAGTTCCTACATTATTCAATCATCAGAAATGAATATAAGGACATACATGCACATGTGATGAGATCTCATTGGTAAATATTCATGTTGTTATTCTACATTTTCATTGAAATTCTTTGAAATCTGAAAGGGAGCTCTTTATCAAGGCATTCTTTGAGATGGTGTACATGTATAATTATGGTAATTTTCCTAATCATGTGCATGCCCGTGTACTCAAATCTTATTTGCTTATTCCCATTGCGCTATATGTGCATTGTTATATCACCCAAAATACTATGTAAAAATAAGCTGCTTAAGTCTATACAAAGGTTTTGCTTAATTTAATGTACCTTATAGGGAATGGGGCCCAAAAAGGAGTATGGGGGCGTTTGGGGAACATCTGTAACGGTCTCCGTTACAATTGGAACTAGTTTTATTGTAGAGTTTATTCTAGTTTTGCAGTAGCAAAAACATTCAAAACAATCAGGTATCAATATGTTAAAATAAAATGTAATAAAACCTTGAAAGAAACTTTGACTTTTGTTGTTTTCAGGCATAAGCCATGAAAATTTAACATTTTTTTTAATTATTTGACATAATCCTAGTACATCAAAGTAATAAAGAGATATGTTGTATTTAATTTTCAGCACTATAATTTGAATCATTATTAAAGACGAGTACCATTCTGAAATATTTTTAGTAAACATGGCAATATCGTTCGTTGGAATCAGACCATAGTGGTAGGAGTACCATGTTCAAATGTAATATATACGAAGGTTGTTCAGTAAAATCGTGGACAAGTTTTCTAGAGTGAAAAATAACTATCACTGCGTTCTAAAATTTTCACTACTCTTTAGTACATTTTTCATCAACGTACATAGTAAATTTCAAATAGATATATGCTCAAATAAACAGTATATGAGATTTTATGTTATGTGTGATATCGTTTTACGGCGCACGGATGATAACGTCAAAGTATCTAAAGCAGCGTCACGTTTTCTCTTTGCTAAAAAAAATGTTGGATAAGCCCCACTTAAATTCGGGAATTTCATCGATGCACATACTTGAATTTCCCTTCATTTCTCCATAAATAGTCGAGGAACCAACCTCGCGCACACATTGGACCTTCTGAAGATTTATTAGTAAGTTATGGACAGTACTCTCACCAGCATTCAACTAAATAGGCGATCTTATATCGACGGTCGACAATGACAGCGTCTTTCGATATTGCCAGTAGCTGTTTGTCCGTATGTTTTGTTCTACCCGGGGACTCGATCAAAAAGCTTCCGCTTAGAAAACGCCCATTTCACTTGTATACTAAAGATCTAGTGATATACATGTATTTTATTTCTTCTGTAGTCATTAAAAGTCTCTTAGGGCGTCATTACTACATCTAGACAAAATTGAACTGCTCTCCGTTGCGCTGTTACTTCATCAAACGTCGCAATTTCTCGTGCATTGTGTTTATCACTTTCCCATTTCAAATGTTTGTGAAACTGCCAAAAATTAAGCAGATGCCTTGAAATTTTCCAAAAGACGATATAATAGATAGTGAATTAAAAATAGGATAATTTTTACCCCAACCTTATCTATTTAATACTTTTATTTCGAAATAATACTCTGTAATCTCTCATGAAACCCTGATTTTTTTTACCATGCGCCATAAGACCGTACGCTGTGCACATTCAAGCATAATAAAATCTTTAATTTTGTCTATATTTTATCAAAAAATTAAAATGCACTCAATATGATAAATACACATTTGCTGAAAAATTTAGCTTAGCGCGCCCATAAAATTTTCGAGAAAAACGCTTTGTCCACGATTTTACCGGACAACCCTCGTAGATAAATGGAACCCTTACAACAGCGTACTTTCATATGGTGTATGAACAATAGTGCGTAATTTTATCTTTGAAGTTTCAATTGACTTTTTTGGGGTTTTCTTGCAGGTAGTGATCAATATAACTCAACTATGATATACCAGTAAACATACTTACTTTCTGAAATTACATGGTAAGTGACAATGGAAATTTGAGAAGGTTTTCTGGGATTGGTGGCTGTAGCTGAGTAGTACCCAAACTCCTCTGGAATTAAAGTCTCTTTTGTTAAAACTGTACGGATTGTTGAGACATTCAGTGACACAGAAGATGACTGGAATTCACCAGAGAGCGTTTTATAATCATCTGTTAAATTCTTTTTAAAAGACCAAAATAACACCGGGAGAGGGTATCCAATGAACTTTGCTAATATATCAAGTCCTTCATTTGTTCTCATCCCTACGTCAAAAATTGACTGTCCATCAAATGGTCTTGGTCTACCTATATTGAATAAAAAAGTTAAACCATGATAATATCCCTAATACATGTACCTTTTGTTACATATGATGTTAACCTTTATCACAAGTCGTGTTTTCAACGGTGAACAGTTCTTGAATCCTCCTATCTCTCTAGATCTCCTCTCTCCCTCTAGTTAATGAACATATATATAGTCAACTACCGTCATTACCAAGAGACAGAGAGAGATATTATCGTCCTTGGCAAACACCTCTAGAAGCAATGCTTTGGGAAAATGTCGTTCAATGCCTCTGTTTTACTTAAAAAACTGTATGTAATGTTGCTAACTATAAATGAAATTGACTTTCTTAAAACCTGTGAGTTGGATAAATGTCGCTTAATGAAGCTTACTTTACCAGAGCAATACTGTTGACTTTACCAACACTACTGCTTATAAAATGCGTCTCAATGCAATTACCTTTACAAAATCTTTTGGCAGTGCTGTAGCGGTAGTAATTGTAACTGCTAAATATACAAATTGTTGAAATTAGTACAATAGTTTTCAGCTCAAGTGAGCTTCTCTGATCATCCGTTGTCCGTCGTGCGTCCGTCCGTCCGTCCGACTGTAAACTCTTCACATTTCAACTTCTTCTCAAGAACCAATAGGCAAATTTTAACCAAATTTGGCACAAAGCATCCTTGGGAAAAAGGGAGCTTAAATTGTAAAAATAAAAAGGCTTAATCCCCTTCCAATGGGAGATAATCAAGAAAAGACAAAATAGGGTGGGTCATTAAAATCTTCTTATCAAGAACTAATGGGCCAGAAAAGCTGAAACTTATGTGGAAGCATCCTGGGGTAGTGTAGATTCTAAATCACGACCCCCCGGGGTAGGGTGGGGTCACAATAGAGAATCCAAGTTCACATTGAAACATAAGGGAAATTTCTTTAAAAATCTTCTTCTCAAGAACCACTTGGCCAGAAAAGCAGAAACTTATGTGGAAGCAATCTTGGGTACTGTAGATTCTAAATTGTTCAAATCATGACCCCCGGGGGTAGAGTGGAGCCACAATTAGGAATCCAAATTTTACTTTGAAACATATAGTTTGTTTTTGTTTTCATTGTTTAACGTCCCTCTCGAGAATTTTTCACTCATAGGATGGGATCACAATAGGGAATCTCAATTTTACATTATGTGGAAGCAACCTGGGATAGTGTAGATTCTAAATTGATCAAATCATGACCCCCGGGGGTAGAGTGGGGCCACAATAAGGAATCCAAATTTTACACTGAAACATATAGAAAAAAATCTTTAAAAATTTTCTCAAGAACAATTGGGCCAAAAATCTAAAAAAAAAAAAAAAAAAAAAAAAAAAAAAAAAAAAAAAATTTGCAGCAGCATCCTGGGATAGTTTAAATTCTAAATTTATTTAGTAAAATCATGACCCCCGGGGGTAGGGTGGGGCAAAAATAGAGAATCCTAAATTTTAACTTGAAATATTTAGAATATATACATGGAAGCATCCTAGGGTAATGTAGATTCTAAATTATTCAAATCATTAACCCCCCCCCCCCCCCCCGGGGGGGAAGGGTGGAAGGGGGCACAATAGAGAACCCAAATTTTACATTGAAATATGTAGAAACAAGTCATTAAAATTTTCTCAAGAACCACTGGGCCATAAAAACTAAAACTTACGTGGAAACATCCTGAGATAGTGTAGATTCTAAATAGTTCAAATCATGACCCCCGGCGGTAGAGTAGGGCCACAATAAGGAATCTAAATTTCACATTGAAACATACAGAAAAAAATCTTTATAAATCTTCTTCTCAAGAACAACTGGGCCAGAAAATCAAAAAAATAATGTTGAAGCATCCTGGGACAGAGTAGATTCTAAATTGTTCAAATCATGACCCCCGGGGTTAGAATCGGGCCACAATAAGGAATCTCAATTTTACATTGAAATATATAGGAAAATGTTTAAAAATCATCTTCTCATGAACCACTGTGCCAGAAAAGCTGAAACTTATGTGGAAGCATCCTGGGATAGTGTAGATTCTAGATTGTTAAAATCATGACCCTCGGGGATAGGGTGGTCCAACAATAGAGAATAAAAGTTTTACATTGAAATATATAGAAAGAAATCTTAACAAATCTTCTCAAGAACAACTGGGCCAGAAAAGCTGAAATTTATGTGGTTCATTCTGGGTAATGTAGATTCTAAATTGTTCAAATCAAGACTCCAGGAGGTAAGGTGGGGCCACAATAGAGAATCCAAGTTTCACATTGAAATATAAAGAATAAAAATCTTTTAAAATCTTCTCAAGAACAACTGGGCCAACAGCTAAAGCTTATATGGAAGCATCCTGGGGTAATGTAGATTCTAAATTGTTCAAATCATGCACCCCGGGCTTAGAATGGGGCCACAATAGGAATCTCAATTCTACATTGAAATATATATGGAAAAAAACTTTAAAAATCTTCTCTCAAGAACCACTGGGCCAGAAAGGCTGAAACTTACGTGGAAGCATCCTTGTGTAGTGTAGATTCTAAATTGTTCAAATCATGACCCCCTGGGGTAGGGTAGGCTACAATAGAGAATCAAAGTTTTTACATTGAAATATATAAGAAAAATGTTTAAAAATACTCTCAAGAAAAACTACAAAAAAGCTGAAATTTATGTTGAAGCTTCCTTGGGTAATGTAGATTCTAAATTTTTCATATCATGACACCTGGGGTTAGGATGGGGCCACAGAAGGGGATTCTCAATTTTACATTGAAATGTATAAGGAAAATGTTTAAAATTCTTCTTCTCAAGAACCACTAGGCCAGAAAAGCTTAAACGTACGTGGAAGCATCCTGGGATAGTGTATATTCTAAATGTTTAAATCATGACCCCTGGGGGTTGGGTGGGGCCACATTAGGGAATCGAAGTTTTACATTGAAACATAAGGGACAAATCTTTATAAATCTTCTTCTCATGAACCACTAGACCAGAAAATCTATAAACTTATGTGGAAGCATCTTGGGGTAGTGTAGATTCTAAATTCTTCAAATCATGACCGCGGGGGGTGGGGGGGGGATGGGGGGGTTAGGGTGTGGCAACAATAGGTATTAAATGGGAAAATCTGGTGAATAACAACAGGGCCAAAGTTATTCAGGTGAGCGTTGTGCCCCTGGGCCTTTTGTTTTTAATCGGACATAATTTCTTAAATAAAAATTATGCATTTTTAAAACACAATAAATAAAGACATGAGACCTCGCTATACTGGTATGAAACTTCTATATACTAACAAAGAATTTTGTTTCGCTTTAATGAGTAGATCTAAAATTTTATCCTGTATTTTATTAGAAAAGAATTATGTGCATAAACATAAAATTCGTTCAACGACGGATAGGTTTTATTTTTATTGATGCCACTGATCATTCATTCTTTATAGCCAGTGATTAAGATCACTTATATCAAGCATACAGCATGACATCCAAAGAAATGCAGTGTATAGAATGAAATAGAATTTTATAGCAAGGGGCTCTCAGACGGCATTTTGGATTTTCTGACGAGTAAAATATAATCATTATGTGAAAAAAAATTACAATTTTGTGCTTTTTTCTATTTATGCAAATTTTTAGCCAATAGAGGTTCACTTAAGTGAGAGTAAAGAAGAAGTACGAATGTTACTTTCATTTTTCCATTTTGTGTGTATCAATTGTGGAGATAACGAATAATATTCATGCTTTAAAGTTAGATTAAACAATGCAAATGAGAGCAGGGCAAACATGGACCTATGAAAACATTAGAGCTGGGATCAGGTGCCATGGAAGAGTAAGCATCCCCCGTAGGCCGGTCCCATCAGCTGTATGTGCCTTTATTAATTGAGTGAACGGAGAAACCAAAGACAATCCAACATGAGGAATTACGACAATTTCAGTCAATTATCGACCGAACGACAAATTCTATTTGCAAATAAGGTCAATGTAATGACCAGAGAATTTAAAAAATATTGATTATCAAGATAATTGCTACACTTGCTTCTTCAATATATTTGTCAATAGCCTTTCCCGTTTTTAAAACTTTTTCTTAAGTAGAACATGTTCTTCTGAATCGAATCAACAGGGATACAAAAAGTCAACATGCAGGTGTTAAAGGTATATTGCTGAATAAACAATTGAAATTGACGATAGAAAGGTTAAAGTCATCACGCTTCTCATAAATTTAGTTGTTAGTTTAACATGAATGTCTTCCTCTGATAAAACATCAAAATATGATAGAGATAATGTGTAAGATTGCAGCGTCTTTTATTTCGAATTTAGTGGAACATCTCGAATCAAAGTGTGAAAGAAGATGAATGATTCTTTTGAAAGTCACAAGCAGTCTTGTCAAAGTGAGACCCATATGATCTCATCTTTCACTGCTGTATTGCAATCACGAAATTCATGAGCTGGAAAGCAAATGCAAATGCATACGACGCTAGGCTCTTTGAGATTCCGTTCAAGAATCACAGTAATTGCGCTGTGATTTAAAATTTTATACGATCAACAGGAGGCCCCTTGAATACAATGCTCACCTGCGTCCCTATGGCTCTGCTGTTCTTCATCAGCAGAATTTTTGCAATATATTCCTATGTAAAACTTTGATCTCCCCTATGACCCCACCCTACCCCTGGGGGCCATGATTTGAACGAACTTTGATCTACACTACCTGAAGATGCTTATATAATTTAAAAATACGACTAATAAAGGCTTTGGTGTTCTTGAGAAGATTTAATGTTTTTTTTCCTATATATCCTTATGTAAAGCTTTAATCATCTACAGTGGCCCCACTATACCCCCGGGGGTTATGACATAAACAATCCTTATCTACATAATATTTCATATTATTATGACTAATCAAGCCTTTACTGTTCTTGAGAATAAAATGTTTAAAGATTATTTCCTATATATTCCTATGTAAAACTCTGATCCCATGCTGTGGCCCCCTAACCCTGGGATCATTTTTGGAACAAATTTGAATTTACAATACTGGAGAATGCTTTCATATTATTATGTCTAATCACGGTTTTTTGTTCACGAGAAGATTTAAAAAGTCTAATTCCTATATATTCCTATGTAAAACTTTGAGCACCTGCTCTGACGCAACCCTGGGGGCCACAATTGGAACAAAGTTGAATCTACACTATGCTTTTAAGCTTTCATGTACATGTAAGTTGCATCTTTTCTGGCCCAGTGGTTCTTGAAAAGATTCTTAAAAGACTGATATGCCATTAAATTTTTAATCATTGTTAGTTATCTGTCATTAATGAAGGGCGTGACCCTTCATATGAATTAATCTGAATCCCCTTCACCAGAGGGTGCTTTTTGGCAAGTTTGTTTGAAATTGGTTCAGTTGTTCTTGTGAAGTCAAAAATGTGAAAAATTCATGCCGATGACGACAACGACAGACAACGGACAATGCTTATCTGAGGGACACTTGAGCCCTCGGCTCAGGTGAGCTTAATCAAAGTCTCATAAGACTGTGGCTTTGTCAGTTTTGACTAAAAGAATGAAAGGCTGGTGTTCTTGGACCTGAAACATTTCTGTTTTGAGCTATACATGTACAACTGTTCAGTGGAAGATACATCTCTTCAATTTTATATATCAGAAAGGAAATGGATATAAAAATATAAATTTTTCATTCATTGAAAATATTTAAATGATTTTTTAGTTTTATTATATTTAATCTTGACACAGTTTCCTTTTGCATTAGATTGATATTTAAAACAAATACAGAATTAATTCATGTTAACAGTTCTCTACACTTGTACAAGATGTCATTTAATTTTGACGGGAAATATAGGACATGTAATTAAGATAATTTATCACATTATTCATTGTAGTAACCTAGACAACTATACTCATTGAAATGGAAAATTGATACAGTAAACTACATATTTGTACTTTGTCTTTTGTAAACTTCTTCCTGGTTTTATTCAAATCAGACACAAAGTTTAAAGTGAATAGATTTTTGAGACACAGTAACAATGTTAACACTGTTTATAGACATAAATCTGGATAAACATGCGGGTATACATGTATACTTGTGTACAAAGTTTTGTTGAACTATAGGATTAGTCGAATTCCGAAAAATTGTTCATGGTTAAATAAAACTGAGAACATACATGTACAACTTACAAACGTATGATGTATTTAGTCTTTAAATAGAAATTGCTAAAATGAGGGCATTCTACTCACAAGCCGTAACGCAGTACTATTCAAGACATCGGTCACCCATTCACAACAACACAAATGCATATTGTACATTATATGTCCTCCAACTTGCTAATGGATCATTTGAATATTTACATGCCTGAAATGAGAACAATATCTGAAAGTGTTAAAAGAGTAAAAAGACTTACAAAGTATTACTATTCGTTGCACAACTGATGATGTAATTCCATAGGAATTTTTGCTGTTGCAGGCATAATTTGCAGTGTGATAACACTTGGCAGATGATTCTCTGTATGTCAGGGATTCTGTTAGTCCATCCGATGCTTTTACTTCTCCTGTGTCTACATTTAGAATGTTTATGTCCGAAAGAGGATAACTGTCAACTTTACAAGTGATACTGAATGGCGAGGATTCTTCATAAGTCCTGTTACCACTGGCTTGGAATACTTCTATCGTTGGAGGATCTACAAAATTATTTTGTTAGGGACAAATATCCAGAGTGAATGATTTACATATGTAAGCCACAAATTAATCTTTATACATACAGTTGACATAAACACTGATTGTTCTTGAAGTTGACTTGATGGAGTTGCTAGCTGTACATGTGTAATCCCCTCTCTCCGTCCGCTTAAGTACTCCTAGGTTTAACAGTCCTGAATTTACAGTCGTTACACCTGTCCACCGGTATGTGCAGTTAGGATTACAGACTGCTGAACAAACAATTGGGAACGTTGTTTGGTTTTCTGTTTTATTGATGGTCATGACATCGGGGGAAAACATTACTGATGTTGGGCCATCTGAATATATATATATATATATATATATATATATATATATATATATATATATATATATATATATATATATATATATATATATATATATATATATATATATTATAAGCTTTAATAAATATTCAATTTATGTTTAGCTATATATTTTGCCCCACCCTATCACTGGGGTCATGATTTGAACAATTTAGAATCTACAATGAAATATAGAGAAAACGAACAGTATTCAAGCTCAAAGTCCATTAAAACAATACGAATCGGGAGCAGACCAAACACGGACCTCCAAAAACATCAGAGGTGGGATCAGGTGCCATGGAGGAGTGAGCATCCCCTGCCGACGGTCTCACCCACCGTGTGCTCCTTGTCATGATCGGGAAATAACGGAAAAATTCGTCGACAGTTCAGTGTAAACAGTGGCCTAACAATTAGTATGAAAAACGTCAGTCAGCATATGACTTAATGATAGATTGTATTTGCTGACAAGGTCATTGTATTGACCATAGATCATATAAAATGATGACTTTAAACGAAACTGTTGTTATTCTTGTTTCATTAGCTTGTATGGCAATAACTTACCTCGTTTTAGAAATTGTCCATACGTAGAGCATGCTCTTGCCTATCGAATCAACTGAGAGACATACACCCCATATACATGTGATAAGTATATATTACTGCATAAATAATGGAAGTTGACGATTGAAATGTTTAAGTCATCACATTTATCATAAAGCTTTGTTTTTAGATTACCATTAACGTCTTTTTCTAGTAAAATATCCAAATATGAAACAGATGTGTCAGACTCTGTGGTATCTTTCATTTTAAGCTCACTGGGATATATCGAGTCGACATATGAATGGAGATAACTATTGTTAATTGATAATACGTCGTCGATATATCTAAATGTTAAAGTGTAGCAAGAGATTTCTTTTTCTCATGTATAAGATTTTGAATAAATTCTGCTTCATATGAATACAAAAAATATTTTTGTATTCATATGAAGCAGAATTTATTTACTTGCTGCACATTTACATTTAGATATATCGACGACGTATTATATATGCTATGTATGCAATGTAAAACTTTTGATTCCCTATTGTGTTCGTACCCTACCCTATGATTTGATTAATTTAGATTCTACACTACCGCAGGAAGCATCCACATAACTTTCACTTTTCCCTGCCCAGTGATTCTTGAGAAAAAAAGGTTTTTTTTTTAATAGTTCAACCATATTTTTGTCTTTTCTTGATTTTCTCCTCTTGGAAGGGGGCTTGGCCCTTTTAATGATTGAATTTCCCTTCACCCAAGGATGCGTTGAACCAACTTTGGTCAAAATTAGCCTAGTGATTCTTGAGAAGACGTTGAAAATGTGAAAAGTTTGCAGACGGACGGGCGGACGATGGACAATGGGTGTTCAGAAAAGCTCATTTGAACTTTTAGCTCTGGTAAGCTAAAAACTGCATATTACATAAAAATATGCCACAAAACGTGATGATAACATGTATGTTTATCTTGTTTTGAATTTAGATCAGGACACCTGACTACGCTAAACAAATTCAATCTATTCGAACACAATGTTACATGTATATAATATATGCATTGACTATCAATATATTATATAGGAACAAAGTGACATTTCCTCCAGGAAAACACCCTTGGCTATATGAACTCGGAATTTAATATGCGTTTTCTTTTTACGTTACGGCCGTACGGCTCTAGTACTGCCTTGACTTCGAAAGAATATAAAATTATGAATCTATATATAGACATTTAGTAAAGGTCATTTAATTGAAGGTATGAAATAAATTTCTTTTCGGTTACATTAAAAAATGTTTGATGCTCTGTGGAGTCGATCCTGGTTGCTTCGGCGTGAGGGGCGGCCGATATATTGATTCGGCTATCCGGTATACTTTCTGTTGATGTCACTTAAGCGCTATATCAATTTAAATCACATTCGGGGTCTATTTTGTTGCACTTAGTAATTTGATCTAAGGGTATTTAAACTCATGTTTTAAGGTCTATTGTCATTCGACAAGTCAGCCACGACCTATCAGTTTCCCGAATTTTTTACTTTGATATAATAATAAAGCAGAATTCTTTTGTAGATTGTTGTTCAGTTTTGTTAAAGTTCGTCTGATTCCTAGCCTAGAGTTGCATGGTATCTTTGGGACTATTCTAGGACTGCCTATGTGCTTTTCTTCCAACCTGGGCTGCAAGACTGCTCCAACGGACGCATTTACATTTGTACAAATCTGTTTTATTAAATCTGGCTAACATTGTCGCCTCCTCCAACATTTGTGTTTGAGTTTTTATTTATGTAAAAAGAATAGGAAACAATTAAGCATTCTGGGAGTATTGCATTAGAAATTATACTAGTCCCCTACCGGCGAGTGTAATCTGGTTCCCGTTGAAAATTGAAAATGCCATAATTCCATCAAAAATCAATGAAGCGGAACGAAATGCAAACCTGATCTATAACTCATCAAGGTAAAGTCACGTACCAAAACTTAGCTCAAAATCTGCAAGCGTTTAGAAAAAAATTGTGGAAAACCGTGAAAAATTGAAGAGGTCGTAATTCTGTCAAAAATCATTGAAGCGGAACGAAATGCAAACTTGATATGTAACTCATCAAGATTCACTCACATACCAAAAATCAGCTCACTATCTGCAAGCGTTTAGAAAAAAAGTGCGGAAAACCAAGTGGGACAGACTGACAGACAGAGGGACAGACGGACGGACAGACAGACTCAGTGGAAACCTATAGTCCCCTCCGGTTTCACCGGTAGGGGACTAATAATTTATGTTCGGCTGAGCGAAGCGGAAGAGAACATAAATCACATGTATGTTAAACAAAACTAATCTGCAAAAAAATTATCGGCAAACATTTTTGATAAAAAAGAGGGTATTCTTGGGGTTCGAGCCAAAGCATTAAAAGTCCTGAATATCATTTTTTTTTCTTTGAGACTTACACGCTAACTGCTACGCTACATGTACATAATTCTTGTTAATCTGCGTCATGTTTGTGATATGACCCTTTGACCTCAGTGGATTTTAAATATTTTTCTTCTGAAAGATAAATGTTGTGTTAAAAAGTGTATTGAATATAAGCTGCAGCAGTGGCCGATCTATTTGTAGTTGTATTAGAAAGTGCACATGGGGAAATGAGACGTCATTTCTGGATTAGTTTAGTTTAATTCTTTAATGATGACACGTATAAAATCATGAGTAAAAAATTGTTTTAAACCAAGTCTTTATTGTTATGTTTCAATTTCATTTTCATTTCTCGTCAGATAATTATATATATATGATTATTATATAAAAAGAGCTAACAATAGATACTACCTGGCCTGGGAGTGTTTAAGATATGACCGCAAATCGTTATGATTTTCCGGATAATAATTAAGTGGTACAAGTGCATAAATTGAAAAGTTGTTCAACTAGTTAAAATTGTTTTGAATATGCTAAAGCTGCAAATGACACAAGGATATTTTTTTCCTACATTTTGCACATTACGCCGTGCAGCATAGCTTACGGTGCATTGATGAACATGCTTCTGAATACACCTACATCTTCAGATTGATTACAACAAATTCTTATCTTTTATAACTGTCTGACTTTATTAAATCGATTAATCAATTTGATGAAAAAATGCACTAGAATTTCTATTCATTTAATTTTATTTTATTAATTTTTTTTATTTAATTTTTTTTATTTGAAGACAGTCTGAAATAAAAATGACCACTCATTCAGCTTTGAATATATTGACATGTGCATTCCTTGGATTTCCTTTTTGCGAAAGAACTTTTTTTGAAATGCTAAACTTGTTTGCGGACAATATTACTTGTAAAATATATTGGGTCTTCACTTCATGTTTTCGTTAACCGAAAAGTATATGTTTTTACGCATCCTTTGAGGTTAAACTTTCAAGTCTATACGTATATACTCTAGTAAAAATCCATGGTATTGGTAAGTTATAAATTAAAATGAAATCCAAGATATCGCCGTTCTACGAGAGCGTATTGCTGCCAATTGAAAAGAAAATATTCTTAGTCGTACGTACGATATACTAAGTCGAACGTACAACATAATAAGTTGTAGGTACAAGATAATATGTCGTACGTACGACATACTAAGTCGTACGTACATGTACGACATACTTAGTCGTTTGTACGAGATAATTTGTCGCATGTACGAGATACTAAGTCGTGCGTACTAGATAATAATAAGTCGTACGTGCGACATACTAAGTCGTACGTACGAGATACTAAGTCGTACGTACGAGGTACTAATTCGTACGTACGAGATACTAAGTCGTACTTACGAGATACTTAGTCGTACGTACGAGATACTAAGTCGTACGTACGAGATAATAATAAGTCGTACGTACGAGATACTAAGTCCTACGTACGAGAAACTATGTAGTACATACAAGATACTAAATCGTACATACGAGATACTATGTCGGACGTACCGAGATATTATGTCGTATAGACGAGATATTAAGTCGTACGGACGAGATATTAAGTCGTACGTATGGGATACTATGTCGTACCTACGAGATATTTGTCATATGTCTTACGAGATACCAAGTCGTACGTACGAGATAATATGTCGTACGTACGAGATAATATGTAGTTATCAAGATTTGTTTATAATTTTATGAAGTATCAAGTATGGACGGCATAAAAACAGCTGCCGTGCTTGTGAAGTATTTTCTTATGTTAGGATTTTACCACAACGAAATGATATTTTCCGGAAAAATCACGTGTGAAACTCAATGTGTCATTGTCAAGTTATTTTTTACAATGAATATTTCTAAATATTTCAGATTTGAATATAGAACCTAAATTTCGTATAAGCAATTTTATAATTAACCTTCAAAGTTTATTAAGAGGATATTCATGGTAAAAAGTCTATTTTTGCATAAAGTTTGAATTAGAAGTTCGATCCAAAGCAGCCCCCCCTCCTCCCCCCCCCCCCCCGAAAATACCCCTGATATTTTGATAGAT